TGGAAACAATTACATTGTAAAACAATTATATTGGATCACTCTGTGACTCTATGCACAAAAATAGCTTAGATAAGTTTCCAAAGGAGATAACTTGTTAAACAGATAAACTTAAGAATAAATTTAATTGTCTTCGAAAACAAATTTCGACACTCTACACAGAGGCCACAAAATCCACACACTCAACATTGAGCAGCATCCCATAAAAAAGTCTAGATATTTAAAGACGCAGGAATATGATCACAACATGAAAAACCAGTCAACAGAACCACAGAAATGACAGAGATGATATAATTAGCAGGTAAGGAATTTTAAAATACTATTATAAATTTATTAAATAATTTGGAGGAAAATCACAAACATATTGGAGCTAGAAATGGAAACAATAAATAAGAAAGAAATTAAAACCAAGTTACATGAAAACAAAATCTGCAGAGAGGAATTTACTGAAATGGATTAATAGATTAGACACTGTAGAGTAAATGATGAATTAATTTAAAGGCAACACAATAGAAAATAAACACAAATTCAAAGAAAAATGTACTAAGTAAAATGAGCAGGCCTATGGAACAATACTAGGTGGTCTGTCGTTGTGTATGTGGGGTCTCAGGAAGAAAGGAGGAAAAAAGTGGGGCAAAATAATTCACAATATAATGACATAACAATTCTGTATATAATAAAATGATAACGATCTAAAAAGCTTAAAAACATCTCAAGTAGGATAAACACTAAGGTACCTGTTAATTGATTTGCTAAAAAAACAGTGACAAAATAAAAAATCTTGATATCTGCTTGAAAAAATTTATATTAGGTGGAAGGGAATAAAGATAATAAAAGCTAGTTCTGTTTAAAAACTATCTAACCCGGGCCTCCCCGGTGGCGCAGCGGTTGAGCGCTGGGTTGCGAAGCTGCCCGCAGCCTCTGCGGCGCCGGTTTGATCCCCGGCTGCTCCCCGGCCACCAGAGGAGGGTCCCACATGGCGCGCAGACCTCTCCTGCCGCCCGCTGCTCCCCTCAGCAGTGTACTTCGGTCCTTCTGCCTGCTCTGCTCCCCGCTCTGGCTCTGGTGAATTCTCTCACCCTCCTGTGCTTCTGACTGTACCCAGTGCATGTATAAAACGAAACAAACAAACAAATAAATAAATAAAACATGCCTCTATAAAAAAAAAAATAAAAAAAAAAATAAAAACTATCTAACCCAAAAGTCAATGAAATATTCTTTAAGTACTGAAAGAAAAAAAAGTTGACATAGAATTCCATATCCTTTGAAAAGAAAGATACTTTAAGACAAAGAAAATCTGAACTTGTCTTAGCAGACCTGTGCTACAAGAAATATTAAGGGAAGTTTGTGTACTAAATGTAAATAACATAGGATGGAAACTGGTATATATAAAATAGAATGAAGACTGCCAAAGATGGCAGTCTTTTACCCAGAAAATGTTGGGTATTGTTAAATTTTTTTCATTTGTATAGTTATTTTAAAGATAATTTACTGTACAAAACAAAGTAATATATTGTCTAGTGTATTTAACCTGTAAAATATGTGATAAAAATAGTGCAGAAGGGGGAAAGCAATAGAGTACTCTTGTAAAGTCCTTACAAAGTAATGCTATTTTATTATTTTAATGCAAATAAACTGATGGATTTTATATACATATTTGAGATGCTAGAGCAGGCACTAAGGGAAAAAACAGAGATCTAGCTAAAAACAAATAAATAGCATGCAAGCCAAAATAAATAAAGTACTGTCAGGAGTTATCCCATGAGGAAAGTGTTCAGCAGGGAGAGATTTTTCTGGGTATAACTATAAACAAATTTATTAGAAATACTGGTATATAGATTAAATTTATCTCTTCATTCTTAAACTCATTTCACAGAGGTCTGGGGGCTATACTGCATGCCTAGGCATTGCTGTTGCAGGCAAAACCCTGAAGAGGGCAGTGTCCACAGCTGAGGTGTGTAGCTCATTGATTGTATTTCAACTAAGTCTGAGCAAAGAGAGCCTTTTGAAAAAATAAGGCAGAGCAAAACAAATAACTCCATTGTATTTCCTGTTGCAAGAGAACGCAGAGTATTCTTTGAACATCAATTCCACAGGGGATAAGAGAGAGTTTTTTGAGGATGTGGATCATGCTTCGCTTCTCTTTGTCTAACATTTGGTGCATATCAATTACCAACAAACGCTAGAAGCAGCAGCTATGGTTCTTCCATTACCTGATGCAGTTAAGGTCACCAGCCTATTTTCATTCTCTTCATCTTGGTTTTGTGATGGCACTTATAGTAATTAGGACATTTAGTGTGTAGTAATCTTACTTTAGGTATTTTTCTAAGATTCCCTTGTTTTGGACTAGAGGCATGTGTCTCCCTACCACCAAATGTGTATGTTGAAGTCTTAACCCCCAAGTAGTTCCCCAGTGTGGTTATATTTGGAAATATGACCTCTAAGAAAATAATTAAGATTAAATAAGAGCAAAGGGGTAGGGTCTGGTTCAGTAGTATTAATGTCCTTTGAAGAGCAACACCAGATCTCTCCCTCCCTCTTTTTGTCCCTCTCCCCTTCTGTATGTCTTTCTTTCCTTGCACTCAGTGAGGAAAGTCATGGTTGTGAAGACACAACTAGAAAGAGCCTTCTGCTTCTGAGCCAAGAACCCTTGCCAGACACCAACTCTGCAGGCATCTTGAACATGGACGTTTAGTCGCCAGAACTGTGAGAAATTACTTTTTTCTTGTTTATGTCACCCACTCTGTGGTATTTTTTTATAGCTTCCTGAGCAGACCAAAGCATCCCTGAACACCTCGAGCAGTGCATTTTGAAACTATTAGCTTCATAGCCTTGACAGATGACGTTAGGGGAAGGTTAGTGATTTCCCCATCACTCCTGATGTGGGAATTTCATACCCTTCAATTTGGAGGAACCCCATGGCTCCACCAGCTAGAGTAGGGTTGTAACCATTTTTTCTCTGCCATTAGGCTGGGGACTGTGGGGAAAGCTTCAAGCTCACTAAGCCTAGAAGAGATGCAGCTCCCAGTAGCCTCCTGGGCTCCTTTTCCTTTTAATTACCTTTTACTTTTTCAGCTAAAGTGAATATTGTTTCAAGTATCATTCTGCTTCCATTGCTTGCCAAGAGTTCTCCAAAATGAAAAAAAAAATATGCCCACATTGCTTGCCCATAAACTAAATGAGCTTTTATGGCCATTCCATCCAGCCCTCATTTTTCTGACACTTGGCTCATGTTGAGTGTAATGCACTTGGGTCCCAGTCCCAGGCTGGGTGGCCATCGGGATAAGACAGGAAAATGGCTTTTTTTTTTAAAGATTTATTTTATTTTTAGGCATACAAGAGCTGGGATACAGGCCAGAGGTGTGGCGAAGTGTGGGGGCGGTAAGAGGATTCACCAGAGACAGAGTGGGGAACAGAACAGGTAGATTGACTGAAATACACTGCTGAGGGGAGCAGCGTGCGAGTCAGGAGAGGTCTGCTACACCATGTGGGTTTCTCCCTGGCCTGGGATCGAACTCCTGCTTGTAGTGGCTGCGGTCAGCTTCATAGGTTGCATCTTAACCCCTTGCGCCACCAGGAAGGCCTGAAAATGGTTTTTTTTACTGAACACTATCACATAAAGATAAAATTAAATGCTTTAGAGATGTCTTGTTCAAATTAATAACTTGACTCAGCATACATAATTTTAAGTTACTTTGTTATTAAAAATATAAATTTTAAATGTGCTGGATTATTCCAGTTTTACCATTCTGTACTTTCAAGACTATTTCCCGGTAATCTGAGGCAAAGTTTTGTCCACATCGTAAAATATTTCATAGATTTTGTTCAGTTTTTGCACTTCTTCAAGTTTGTTATTTTTATAATAGTTACTAAGTGCCAAAAAAAAAGAAAAAGAAAGAAAGGAAAGGTCTCTGAATATTATTTCCATTGCTATGTTTAAAGAAGACCTTTCCTGCAACAGTCAGCTTTTAGAACAGCATTCAACATATAGTAAGCATTCAGTAAAACCGATTGCCTAAGGAGTGAATAAATTATGAAATTAATTGTTATACTTCTTTAAAGGTCTATTTAAAAGTGATGATGATAAACCAAACTGTCTTTTATAAGCTTTTAAAATTCACAGACTAAAATTATTTATATTTCTTTGCAAGATGTCCTTGTATGGACTGAAGGTTTGTGTTTCCCCCCCAATTTATATGTTTAAGTCCTAACCCAGCCCCCTCCCAGTGTGACTGTGTTTGGAAATGGAGCCTCAAATGAAGTAAATATTTAAAAACTTTTCTCAAGGTAATTTTCCAACAACTGTGAACAAAACCTTTATGTGAATTAATTGTGCAATTTGATAAAGCAAAGAGCAACTGTACTTTCCCTGAGCAAGTCTACCTTCCAGGACAGCCTGGGGGTGATACTGATGAAGTGCCATGTGGCATGTTTGCTTGGTTGTTTCTGACCCTCGCTCATTGGACCCACTGGTGTGAACATGTGTCCCAGTCATCAGAATTGGTATGTCGCTGTTTCTCTCCTACACCTTAGACTCCAGAGAAAACAGCAAATCATGAAACTCTCCAGGTGTCTGTTTCATTATTAATGCCTGATAAATGGTATCCCAAATATAATTCTTCTTTTTGAACCATCTTTTTGTACAATGTGAATTTATTATTTCTAAATTACTTCACCTGCAATAGTCCACTAACATTTGCAATGTTGGGAGTTAGAGTTAATAAGCTCAAGTAGGACTTACATTTTTGGATAGCCCAAACCCAGGTTTCCCTGGAAAAGGCTAAGATTTTATGTAAGACCCTAACATGATGTAGGTCTTGGATATTTTCAACTGAATGTGGCATAACAGCAACCTCACAGCGCTATCTGGGACAGGGTTGGATTTCTTGTGCAGTGCACAAGCTTGAGTCTTGTTCATAATTACAGATGACATCTTCATGTACTAAAAGGTCTTCTGTCATGATAGAAACATTAAAATGTACAAGGCAGAAACATGTGTTAAACCTTTTTCTTTTGACTATTCAGACAGCAAGGGAAATAAAACGAGGGAGGCTAATTAGTTTGCAGGGTCTCAGTTTTGTTTCACTGCTTGCATCCTAGAAGGCCTGTCCTCAGAGGTAGCAAGATGTCACTACTTGTCCCAGATTTCAGTTGCTCCTCCAATGTGTCGCTTACATCAGCAGTCGGGGGTCAGAACACCACTTAAGGAAAAGAGCAATAAGGGAAATGAATGCGGAACCTCTCCTTTTTTAAATTTAAACAATAATGTTATTTAAGTTTCAAGTATACGTTCTTTTAAATCAACATCTGTATACACTTACTTCCAACACCCAAATTCTAGTTTCCATTCCATCACCATTCAGTTGACCCCTTTTACCTTGTTTATCAACTTACCCACCTTTTTCCCCTTTCTTGTGGCAACCACTTTGTTCTTATAGTCCAAAAATTGGTTATTGTTTGAATCTTTCTTACCCAGTAATGCTTGCTTTCACAATGACCCTTCCTCTCCCTGGAAGACCAAGAAAAGAACTACTAGTTTTCCTTTCCTTTCTTTCTGTTGCCCATTCTAACTCCAAAGTTTTGGTCCTTTGCATTGTTTTGCAAAAAACAAAACAAAACTTGCTCAGATCTGCCAGGAGACAGAGAGGCATAAAAAATATTAAGCAAAGGCGAACACTTTTGAGTTGAGCTGGCAAAAGCCACTGTGTTTGCTGCAGGGGAGCAGATTAAAGCTGTCTAAACACTTCATTTCCCTATGGGGCCTGACTATATGAGAACAATTCAAGGTCCACTGAGCAGAACGATGGAAGTTCCCTTCCTCTCCTGCCTACCCCCTGTGGTCTTTATCAAATTTAAATGACCTATGCTCCCCAGGACAGATAGAGACAGTTGTGTGTGCTGTCTAGGTATGCTGGGCCTTAGATGCTGCTAGACTTTTTTATGCATGAAACTACAGATTGGAAGTTCAGGATATAAATTATAATTTAGTATTATCAGCAAGCAGATTCCTCCAGTTCCTCAGTTTTGGAGTTTCTGACATGCTTCTGAGATCTGAAGCCTGGGCACATCTAGGCTACAACTCTGATGGAATGACCCACCCAACAAACTGTCTTCTCAGAGGACAGTGGGCTGCAGTGCAGTATTCAGCATGCCATACAGTCTTCTGCCACCACAGCAGACAGTGGTCCACTCCCAGCCTGACACAGGTAATGGGGATAACACACTGGGTCCGATAGGGAAGGTCCATCTCTCTGCATGTTTAGGTCTGAAACCTTTCCTGCTATCACTCTTAGTGAAAGGTCCAGGCCTTTGGATTGCCACATTTGGGGATCTCTGGATGCTAGAAGAATCTGTGACCAGCCAGTAAGGTCTTTTATTTTTTTGTCTTCATTTTCCCTCTTTTTTTTTTGTTCCTCTCCAAAGGGATCCACAAGGAAGGTCACCAGAATCAAGAGGCTTGTGTCCTGACTGGAAAGGGTGTTTCAAACCCATTTGGAGTTTGGGTGAAGGTGAAAGTTGTCAGGCTGTGAAAAATGGCATCAGTGTTGGCTGACCTGAAATAGGGCTGTAAAGTTCTATTCCTCACAAAGGCAAGATATATTATTGCTGTAACGCCATTATTCCGCTCCATCACTTTTAAACCTTGTTCCCATTATCTGCAAGTTAAATATAACCCTATGTAAAAACAGGAAGGACAGCACTGAGTTGTCCAGCTTAACAGCACACACTTAAAACATAATAGAGCACTTGTTACTGTATTTTATGGAACGGAAACTCCAAATGTAAAGATGTATTAAGGAAATATCTCAAAGTTATTAGGGAAGGATATTTACAATTACAGATTGCTTTATATTATGCTTTTATGAACATCTCAGGAAATGAAATAGCCCTCAGCTGTAGAGAGTGAAGAGGGAGGTAATTTTCCTTAATACGGGTGATAAAATTAATCTGATTGAAATCGCAGGCGATTATTTCTCAGAATACTGAGTGGCAGTACAATCACTTATACTCTTTTATATTTTTTTAGTCAAAGCTCGTGTAGATGAAAGCTAATTACAAAGTAGTGATGTGAAGCGCTAAGGAAATAGTTTGTATAGCATAGAACAGGCACGGCTAATTGGGGTTTGTGATTACACAGATTGTTGTTAAGGAGAATTAACTACCAGCAGTCTCTCCTGCAAAGCTTCTCATCAAGGCAAAGTAAAAATAGACACTGGATCTGTTATTTATCTAATTATGCCTTGAATATTTTCACAAGCATGTTACACACTCTCAAATGGTTTGTTGTTCAAAAACTTTCGGTCTCACGCTGCTTGTGATCAAAGTATCGATATGAATTTTTGACACTGGGCTCTCTTCAGATCACTTTCCCTAAATTCCTGCTCACAGGTGGTGTGTGTTGAGGGCTTTTGAGCTGAGAGGCTAGTTGGGATTATTACTAAGTGTGCTACTAAAGATGGTGTTAGGGTAGCGGATGGTGCTATTTAATAGCACTTATAGAGACCTGCAAGTCTCTGGGTCAGCATGTTTATGTCAGAATTAACCTTATAGCAGGCGATGAGAAATTTTCAGCAGAGCTGAGGTGGCTTTAGTTAGTAAAAAATGAATTCATTAGAAAGGTGTTGGGTCCCTTTGACCTATGGCAATAATTTATTGCTTTCTTTCCATGGTCATGCTCCTAATATGTTCCGGAAAGCCTTCATTTATAGGATATGTTGAAGCATATATTAGAGTCCATAGAACTAATTAGTTCTAATGACCACCTAGTTAATCTTCAGTATTTCTTGAATTGAGAGCTAGGACACTTGGCTCTGCTGGCAGGGACTCAGGCAGAAGCCCAATCACACCCACACTCTCAGATCCTTATCTGTTTTCCTACTACTTTGTAAATCTCTTAGTCCTCTGTTATCACCAATTCAGTTTTTCACTGACTGCCCATTTCTGCTCCCCTTCTGTCACGAATCCTTTCACTTGGCATTTGCCAAGTGCCTCCCATAAGGGCAAACTCCTCTCCAAAGAAGTAGCCTCATCACATTCTCAGATCACAGACTCTCCCCTATCTTCTCCTGGGTGGTAGTGGTGTTTGGGGGATCCTGTCTGTTCCTGAAAATGTGTAGAGGGAGATTGAGAAGAAACCTTTAAGGCAAAACTGTACAGATCTTAAATAGTTGGAAAGGTATTGCCTTAAGCACAACATCCTAAAAGGCATATCCTAGAATAATTCTGTAACTTATGAAATGCAAATTTATTGACAAGGCGATAGTTTCTGAAGACAAGGTATCTTCTAGAAACCTCATTTGAATGGTGACAAACATCATTTCTCAGGATATGAGCACACAGGGGTGCAAGTGCCTGGTGCGAGAGTATTTGCTGTCTGACTGGTGGTAAGACTCAGCTGCACAAACCAAACATAATAGCCTCACAAATTGCTTTAATAGACCTAAGATCAACCAGTAGCATACATTAGTGAAACAACTTATAGATTTCAACTCTTGCTTATTTGCTTACAGTTTTTTTCTTACTCATCTGTCTGCTTTTTGTTTAATCTTCATTATTAAAATGATCAAGTTGCTGCAGGAAATTATGCAGTAAGTTTAATTTTGAATGTGGTGAACAGTAAAGAAACAGAAGAGCAGGAGAAAATATACATTCTCCCCCTTCGTTTGCTTTAGTTGGCATCTGAGCAAGTCCTTCTTGTGTGAATAAATAGAACTAGTTCCTAAAATTGAATTTCCTGCATTATTATTATTAACAGTTTGCTACGACCAATATGCTATGCAGCAGTCTGTGGATGATATCTGCAATTTCACTGCCTTCCTATGTGAAAAGAAGATAAAAATTATATTATATGGGTGTATGCAAATTATGGAGGGTCTGGCCTTGTGCTCCAGTAATTCTTAGATGTGCCTCTTCGTTGTCCACTTCGAATGACAGGCACTGAAAATTAAATGGTTTCCAATAAAAATCCTGTAACCTGAAACGAATCCCCACTGAATAATTAGAATATCTCATCCATAAAAGGTAATCATGTGTCTTCCATTTTTGAAGAAGCCTCTCCCTGATCAGCATCGATGGCATTCTGGTCAGATTAGATCTTTAATTCTTATGAAAAAGACATAATACTCATCCTTTACGAGGAAACCTTCTGTTGGTTCTGACAGCCTTAAGCTGTCACAGTTACCAAGGATCAGAACTGTGCTCAGTGTTTAATATAAGGAGGAAAAAGAAAAGAAGATGGAATGTTCTCTGCATTATTTTAACACAGGAGGAAAGTATCATCTCCCCCAGATGCAAAACAGCCGCAACACATAAGCCACCAAGATGGACACACTTTAGTTCATAAAGTCTTGGTGCAGTTGTGGGGTGTTGTGGGTCCTGACTGTCCATTACTGCTTTGTGGATTGACAAGACCAAATGGCAACCTCAGGCGAAGAAATCCTATCATTTATCTACTTGTCACTACATCTCTCCCAACATGGTAGCAGAAAGATGTAAAGATTGGAGATGAGGTACCTGCGTTCAGACCCTGGCTGGCCCCCTAGTGGGCTGGGGTCCCTTGGGCAGGTTATCGTTGCTCTCGCCCTGATTTCCCCACCTGAAAAGATTGATGGCAAGAGACCTTTCTATGGATTAAATCAGTTTACCTGTACAACAGATGCCAATGCTCATTGTTTTGTTTGCTTAGAACTTGGGTGATGGTTTTAAACTGAAGATGGAGCCCCCTCAAAACTTTTCTGTTTTTTTTTAAATGTAAGTCAAGCAGGTCAGTGATAATTTATACACTGGAGAAGGCATTTAGAAAAGAAATCCCTGCAACAATGAGGGAGAGACAGCGATCTTTAACAGAGAGGAAGGAGACACTGAAATTTTAAGTTAGCTAAGCTCATGAGCTGCGAATCCTCTAAATTGTCAGCATAACAATGAGTAACAGTGGTTTGGTTCCAATTTTCTGTAATTTATTTATAATATGAAGAGCCCCCTGTCCCTTGTCAAAAAATCTACAAATCACTCCTGAAACACAAATAATAGTCACATTAAGAGGGACAAATTATAACACTGAAATATGTCCTTGGGCTGGAAACAAGGAAACAATGTAAAAGTGGAACTGAACACTGCAAAAAATATGGCCTAATGATACATATTAAAATAATTACATGTAGTTAGCAATTCTCCTCGGATAATTTATTGAACTTGGTCCCAT